CAAAATGGGCTTTCTCCTGAAATACATATGGAGCGGTACTGGGCAGAGCAGGTGCCCTTCTGCCTTTGTTGACACTACAAACAAATGTGTATTGTCTTCCTCCGCCCAAGGAATTTTCTGCAGCAAGATAGAAAAAAAATCCTTGCTTCCGCTAGTACAGCTTGTACTGAAACTATAACAAAATAATGATTTGCTACAGAAACGTGTGGGGGAAAGAGCATGCTATTTTGGTGTCCTTGTGCCCCTTGCAGAAGGAGCGCACAGAGCGGCTGGTGTTCTCCCCTCTGAATCAGCTGCTGAACATGTTTGCCGGGCCTCACAAACTCGTGCAGAAACGTTTCGACAAGCTCCTGGACTTCCACACATGCACGGAGCGGGCGGAAAGGCTGAAGGATAAGCGGACCTTGGAAGAACTGCAGTCGGCTCGCAACAATTACGAGGCCTTGAACACGCAGCTGCTGGATGAGTTGCCCAAATTCCAGTGCTGCGCCAAGGAGCTCTTCACCAGCTGCCTGCGCGGCTACGCGGAGGCCCACTGTGACTTTGTGCACCTGGCGTTGCAGGAGCTGCAGCCTCTGCTTTCTGTAAGTGTGCAAGAGAGGCCAGGACCGTGCAGGCTGCCCATCCTGATTGGAGACTAGCGAGGGTCAGAAGGAAAGAGCATATAGGGCTGCCTGATTTGCTGCCCCGTTGCATTTGCTCTGTATTTTCAACAAATGCACTCACCAGTTGGCGTGGAGGAGGAAAAGGCACACACTAGGTCAGCACAGTGCTCTTTAAAAGTTGCCTTCTGTGCTGGGATTTCATATTGGCTGTTGCTTTCTTTCTCTGGTGCCTTTGGACCTTCTATGCTCAAATCCCCTCTGCTAGTCCAATGGTTGTGAGTGACCGTTGTGCCTTATACAATCTCTGAATTCCCATGAGTTTATTCTTTGCCCCAGGCTGTGAATGCTACTGGGGGAAATGGCAACAGGAAGGCACTGTTGAGCAAAGGAAGCTGCCTTTTGTACTGAGTCAGACCTATCGGTCCATCTAGCTCAGTATTATCTACGTTGACTGGCAGTGGCCCTCAAGGGTTTCAGGCTGGAACCCTTCTCAGCCCTACCTGGAGATGTTGAGGATTGAACCTGTGACCCTTTGCATCCGAAGCATGTGCTCTGCCCCTGAGCTATAGCCCTTCCCTTACAGGCCCTCTGAAATGGAAGGCTCCTTGGGATGGCGATCTTGATACAGGACATAACTGTTGATAATGGGCTCTATTAGTAAGGAAAAGAAGGCACCATGTCCTGGGTTTCTAGAGCTGTCTCTGGGTGTTCCCTGCCTGGAGCCTGGCTTCATAGTGGCCTGTCTCTTGTGCCTAGCCGGGCTCCCCATTTCCACTGTTCTGACGGCCCTGCCGCTCTCCTCTCTCCTAGCTGCTGCAGGTGGTTGGCAAAGAGGGCAATCTGGTTGCCATCTTCCAGGAAGAGCATAGCCGCGTCCTCCAGCAGCTGCAGGTCTTCACTTTCTTCCCCGAGAGCACCCCCGCTGCCAAAAAGCCCTTTGAGAGGAAAAGCCTGGAGCGCCAGTCAGCACGGAGGCAGCCGCTTCTGGGAATGGTGAGCAGCTGTGGGCAGGGGACTCCTCATTCAACATGGGCACTGTCCAGTGGTGGGCGGCCTTGGCTTGAGGAACCAGGGCCAGGCACGGAGCACTGTGTGTCACTGCATCGCCTTCCCCATCACTGTTTGGTGCTGTCGCTTCCCTTGCAGCCCAGCTACATGTTGCAGTCGGACGACCTCCGCGCTGCCTTGCTGTCTCGGTACCCCCCCGACAAGCTCTTCCAGGCTGAGCGCAACGTCAACGCCGCTCAAGAGTTGGACATTTCATTGCTGGAGGGTGACCTGGTGGGGGTCCTTAAGAAGAAGGACCCCATGGGCAGTCAGAACCGCTGGCTCATTGACAATGGAGGTGAGTGGAGGCCTCTCCTGGCCTTCAGGCAAACTGTGGGACACCTCCTGTCCGGAGGAGCTTGTTCTGTATCTATTATTTAATTTGTGCGGGTTCCACACTCCCACCCAATCTGGCGCTAAGTGCACTTATTTTAATTTCTAAAGAAACCACCTGTTCTTTCCAGATATCAATCAAAGTCACTCTGGTAGAGCTTCAAATTCCTCTTTTAATGACAGCTGCTTATCACTCTCCCTAGTGGCCTCAGGAGCTATATTTACTGCTAAGCAGGCAGCTGAGTCCCTACAGGCCCCAGTTCTTTTCCTTTCACATGGCTTTAAAAATGCCACAAGTATTTTCCTTTTTATGTGCGCACAGCAACAGTGCACATTCTCCACCTCCCCAGTTCAGTGTTGGTCCAGTGTCCACAATGATACAGAAATCTGGTGTTGGGAGACACCTTATGCAGCTGTTTCCCAACACACTGGCCTGGCCCTGTCTGTGCTTCTGATTTCTGACCTTCCCTCTACAGTGACTAAGGGCTTTGTGTACAGCTCCTTCCTGAAGCCATACAACCCACGATGCAGCCACTCAAATGTTTCTGTGGGCAGCCATTCCTCGAGTGAATCCGAGCACAGCGGCTCCTCATCTCGTGGCAGCAGCACGCCAAGCAGCATAGTGAGCAACACATCTGCAAACAGCCCTCAGAAACCTCCGCAGGACTCTGGCTTCCAAGGGGATTTAATGAGCTCCCTTTCAGAGGCCCTTTCAGAGGTGGATGCTGCTGACCAACCTAAGACTGGTCCTGTAGACTCTGCTCAGCCACCCCGCGCCATTCCGGCATCCCGCCGATACAGTAACCCCGACCCACGCAATGGGCTTCCGGCCCGGCCCAAGGCCAGGGCAACACCTTCGCTGGAGAATGGCAACTTGAGGCCGAGGACCAGCGAGTCTAAGGGGAACCAGGTGAGTGCATATTTCTGTCTCTGTTAATGGGCCATTTCTAATTTGACTGGCTAGCTAGCACAACCAAGGCTTCCTCTGAAAATGAGCATACAGTGGTACCTCAGGTTAAGAACTTAATTCGTTCTGGAGGTCTGTTTTTAACCAGAAACTGTTCTTAACCTGAAGCACCACTTTAGCTAATGGGGCCTCCCGCTGCCGCCGCCGTGCGATTTCTGTTCTCATCCTGAAGCAAAGTTCTTAACCCAAGGTACTATTTCTGGGTTAGCGGAGTCTGTAACCTGAAGCGTATGTAAACTGAAGCGTATGTAACCTGAAGTACCACTGTATTGGAAGCCCAGAGTGAGTTCTGTTCCATCTAATTCAGTACAGCTAATTCTTGGGACTTTATATATTCGTATTGTATGGGCTAAGATATTTTTAGCCCGCTTTTCAATTTGACAACAAAATTCCCAAAGCAGGTGCTCTCAGTGTAAGAAAAAAAAAAGGGGGGGGGGAGGAACAGCCTGGGACTTGTTCTGTGGGGCTTTGAATGGTGCAGCATGTTTCTTCCTACTTTTGCACTGACCTCCTCCCCGTTCTTTCCACTTTGAGGTCTACTATGCTGTTTACACTTTTACGGGACGGAACTCAAATGAACTGAGCGTCACCGCCAATCAGAGACTAAGGATTCTGCAGTTCGAAGACATCACGGGGAACCAGGAGTGGTGGCTGGCAGAGGCACATGGGAAGAGGGGCTACGTGCCATCCAGCTACATTCGGAAGACTGAGTACACGTGAAGGATGTTTGTCTGGACTTGCCAGAAACTGCTGCCTTAATCGCTGTTGGAGCCAGGCTGAAGAGGGAGGCCTTGTGCTCTCCATCCCCTTCCCCTATGGTTTCAATTGGATACATTTTGGGGGAGCCAAACCAGGTTTCCTGTGAAGTTGAATGAAGTGCTTCCACGGGGTTCTGCTGGTTTACCCTAATGAGACTGAACCTCTCTGTGCCTGGTCCTGAGGGGCAGTGCCCCTCGCCTCAAGCATTGCCGTGTGGAGTTTATTCCCCCTTGAAGTAGGTGTTTAGTCTCCTTTGACTAACAAGTTTCAGACTAGCGGCTGATTATGCAACTGTGAGGCATCTGGCAAATGGTAACCCAGGGGCCTGGGTGATGGGTGTGCCCTGTCAGATCAGTCTAAGGATCCATCTTACCTGCTTCCCAGTAACCATCCTCACGCTTCTAGGAGCCCAGTAGCAGAGCCTGCAGGCAATGGCCCCCCATTTGTCCCCCAGCAATTGGTATGCAAAAGTCTGCGCTGTCTCTGAACTTAGATGTTCCATTAAGCTATCATGGCATGAAACAGTTGCAAGACTGAAGATCCACTACAGGCTGGCCTCTTGTTCAGTAGTGGATCTAATACAAAGACAGGTTGCAATTTTGTTTTCCTACAGACTGCAATGTTGTATGCAAGGGTGCTGGAGATTAGCTACTGAAAACGAGAGCGCTTCCTTTCTCTCAGTGTTACTTGGCATTGGCTGTTGCAAAGTGCATAAGGGCTCCTTCACGCAGCTTCAGGTGGGGTCTGGTGGCACACCTTGGATGCTGCTGTGTGTGTGTGTGTGTACATACTGCTAGGACCACCTTGCCCCAAGTCAGAGTTTTTTTCTGGGGGGGGGTATTCCTGCTCCAAGATAAAAGAGCAGAGAATAACAGCTGCATTGTGCCTCCTGAGCTGCTGTTTTGTAAATAAAAACTTTTTCTGACGTATCTTGAATGATTCATGCACAGTCCCCCCTTTTGCGTTACCCCTTCTCCTTGTGACAGCAAGCAGCTTCCCTCAACTCGAGCACACAAACACCAAGATTGTCAGGAACAATTAAATATTATGATGGTCCAGGGATGAATGGTAACAGTACTGGCAAAAATGGGAGACTGACCTATAACAGTAAGAGCCACTTATGCCCAACTTTCCTTTGTGCCAAGGAAAATCCTTCTGGAATATTGGGAAGGGTGGGAACACCCAATGGCAAGAAAAGCAAACTTGTATTTTCATACTTTGCTTCTCCAGTGCCTGCTGCATCTGGGGGAAGTCTAGGGCCAGGAACATGCAAGAAACGTTTGTCCCGCTTCAGTAATTATTGTCCGTTTTATTGTATTTTAAATACAGCGTAAGATGCCTCAGGAGCTTTGGTCTGTAGACAGGGTATGAAAACTTTTTTCAAAAAGCCCAGTGCACCCCACATTTGAAACACCTTGTGACAGCAAATTTAAAAAGGGTACAGAGACTTCACTGTTTGGGACAAGATTCCCAAATAGTTATTAGTCAGCACCTTTCCAGCACTTCTCCGTGTACTAAGTGTTGTGAAGTTCTAATTTGTCATCTAAATCCTCTCTCCACCCCGCCTCCAGATGAAGGTGTGAAACCCCATGCAAGGAGGAGGAAACAAAAGCTGCCAGTATCCCCAAAGAAACATGAATCTGGAAGGTGATGCGTTTTGGGGGCAGGGGGGCAATAAACGGAACCAGTTAAGACTAAACACCACCAGCTTGTTTTTGCCTACTTCATAGCACGGAGAATTGTATGGGAACTTCTGTGCTGTGTCTTGAAACAAAGGAGGAGTGGTAGAGCTTCCGTTGATCTTTTCTATCTTGGAGGGCGATAGTAAAAGTGCAGCCCCTTCTGCAGAACCATGGTTGGCTTATAGGCAGTGCTTGAGTTCAGGGCCAAGAAAATATCAGGTAGCTGTCTGTGAAGATACAAGCTGGTTGAGTGCAGCGTGCCCAGAAACTGTATGATGATACAATCTGTGCTTCAGGCATAATATCACTGCTGGTACAGACAGTGTTGGCACCCAGTCAAAGGTAAAAGTCCAGGAAAAGCTACCACAGGGATGCGTGAAGCTGGCCTTGGTCTTGCTGCCCTTGCCTCTACATGGCAGTGTTCTGGCTTCCTACAATTCCAGCATCCTTGGCCATTGCTGCAAAGATGCTTTGCTGTTTAAGCAGATGATCAGGGCTGTCAAACTCCACAATCCTTCCCGCCTGAAGCACCATCACCCTGGAGTGGAGAGAGAGACATTTGAGATTGAGCACAAGCACCCATATCCAGTTGCACACAGCTCCTAGCACCTTCCAGGTTAGCAGTCAGAAACTAAGTGGTGCCAATCTGTATGGCACCAAAAGAAAAGTTGACACCAGCAACTCTAAAACTGACCCCGCCATCTACATTTCTGAGGAAAAGAAGTGGAAACTGCAACAGGGTGGCTCCAGAGGAGGGAGTTTCCGGAATGGAAAAGGGAAAGCGGCCAGAGGGTGGAGGGAAGGATAAGAATCCCTTCAACTGATCTGGGGAAATAATTATTGGCATTGATGGTCAACCTGGCTTGCGTGGTGAACATATTCCATCCCTTAATGATTCACCACTTCACTTTAAAAAATATGGGAGTCACTGAGCTAATAATGCATCCAATATTTTATACAGGGATTTCTGTGTCCAATTGCTCACCCTGAAAGGTCATCATCCTATCACAGGAACTTTTGTTTTGCTGAGCTGAGTGGGAAGCACAGGCTCAACCATTGTCCCAAAAGGTTGGGCTGATGGAGCCATTGCAGCTCCAAAGGCTTCTCTGTTTTGTTATATTCTCCTTTGGAAGTATTGGTTACTGTAAAGCACATTTAATGAGGTCATCGCTTTCCTTCCAGATCTGCTTTGTAGCAACTTACAGCCCAGTCTTGGATGCCAAATGTTGTTAAAAGGTTTCTAGAAATCCATTGTTCTTCTTGTTGTTTATGTGCTTGCAGCTAAAAGCCAACCTGAGAAGGGATTTGCTTTCCCAGGGAAAAATTGACCTGCACAGCATTTACTGTGCTTTTCAAGCATTTGTTTAATGCAGGCTTAGGAAAACAACAGGCTTATTTTCTAAAGTTATATTTCACTGCGCTGCATGCTGAGTTATTTCTCTTGTTTGACTATCAAAGAAAACCATTTGTATGCAGTAGGCCTCCGAATACAAGTTGCTGGAAACCACGGTTGGAGAGAGAGCTGTTGGGCTGAGATCATGCTTATGGGTTGTGGGCCAACAGGCACCTGGTTGGCCACTGTGCGAACAGGATGCTGGACTAGGTGGGCCTTTGGCCTCATCCAGCAGGTTCTTCCTATGCTCACTAACCATTCTGCTTGAAAGCTTTTCACTCATGGACTTCAAATATTGGCTTTCTTCAGGATTGTGTGTCAACGTATGTAAGGATATTTAGTACAGGCCACAAACTATCTGGATTTAGATTTCCAAATGTGTTGTCAGTTCTAGGAGCACCAAGTGGAAGTTTTAGTGGGGTGATTACTGAATGACAGTTTACTCCATGCAATTCCACTGTTGCTGTAGGTCAGTGTTTCCCAAACCTGGGTCTCTATCTGTTTTCGGACTACAACTCCCATCATCCCTGACCTGGTAGCTAGGAATGATGGGAATTGTAGTCCAAAAACAACTAGAGACCCAAAAGTTTGGGAAACAAGTGCTGTAGGTGCTTCATCCATTGTGGGCCGAGGGAACCTTTGCTGCTTTTTTCGTGAGACCATGAAGCCCTGAACCATTACAGCGGTGTATGATGAGAGCATGCCACTCCAAATCACGCCAGATTTCACACAGCATGCCCACAACCCCACAAACTGTACCTGTGGCTGTCCATAATGGTGTGCAACCGATGGGCAATGGTGAGCACAGTGCAGTCTGCAAACTCGCTCCGGATTGTCTCTTGGATCAGGTAGTCAGTCTCCATATCCACAGCTGCCGTGGCCTCATCCAGAATCAGGATTTTGGATTTACGGAGGAGGGCCCGTGCCAGACAGACAAGTTGCCTTTGCCCCACGCTGTGGAAACGAGATCAGTCCATCACTAGCTAAGTGGATGCAGCTGCCTGCAAGGGGCTAGTGTAAGTACCATCACAGCCCATGCTCTCCCAACAGTCTCCCAACTCTCAGGATGGGAGCACCGCACAGCAGCCCGTATTACCCTTCCTGTACCTCAGGTTGTCTCCTGCTTCGCTCACTAGATGGGACAGTCCTTCAGGCAGGCTGTGTACATAAGACTTCAAGTGTGCCAGCTCCAGAGCATGCCAGACTTCTTCATCCGAGTGCTGGTCAAATGGGTCCAGGTTCATGCGCAAGCTCCCCGAGAAAAGAACAGGATCCTGTAGGTGCAGGCACGAGAGGCTTAAGGCAGGTACGGCTGGAAGCAGCAGCATGGCTAGGCTGAACCAAAGGGGTGTTCTTCCTTTCAGCCACACCCAATTGCTGAACAGTGAGCTACAGTATGGAAAGGGGGAAGTAGGCAAGGTCCCATCTCTGGGATCCAAAAGCTACGGTTTAAGCCGGCATGGATGGTCTTCCACTAGGGATGATCTTGGTCTGCAGCCATATATGCTTTGGGGGTGTAGAACATTCACGATGGGCCCTACAAATTACCCCCTTCTTTTCATGCCCCCTTGTTCCACTGTGTTACAAAATAGGAGGTGGTATTTGCCATCTCATCAATATAGGAGTGGAGGACACAGGTCTAATAAGGCTTCCCCATGTGACCTGCTAGACCGTTTTGTCCAAATCATGTGCACCCGATGTCACGTGACCTCAGTTGAGGGGCAAGGGTAAAGACAGACTGGGTCAAAAAGTGGTTTGCAGTGCATGGCACTGTGAAGCCCTAATTATCATCTGCTGCTTAAGGGGCTGTAAAAGATTACTGAGGGTTTTAAACCATGCACAGCATGCATGCCCCTGAATAGTGTAATTTCAAACCATGTGGGCAAAAACTGGCCACCTGATGTCGTCCATGTGATATTCTCCACCCTTGTCAGCCAGAGTGGGGAATAACAGCATGGGAAGCCCTCCACCACGGAAATCAGCAGCATCAATGCAATAAGGGAGGACACCCCACACAGAACTTGGTATTGGTACTCTACTCCCTCCCTCCAAGCAGCCAAAGCCTGGCCTCAGCTCCTTCAAGCCAGGTTTACTGGCTGTCTCACCTGTGGGATGATGGTGATGTTCCGGCGCAGATCATGAAGTCCAAGCGTTGCTATGTCAAGCCCATCAATCAGGATTTTGCCTCCAGCTGCCTCCAGGATGCGAAAGAGGCAGTTGGTGAGCGAGGATTTCCCAGCCCCAGTTCGGCCCACGACACCAACCTGAAGCAAGAGTATCTCAAGGGTTAGATAAACCAAACCGCTTTCATTTCTCAGTTATCCTTTCCTGGTTCATTCATCCAACTAGGCAGGATGTTGCATCTCTGCTCCGGTTCCTGTCGGACAGGTCTGTGTTGGTTCTGAACTTTGAGCTAAGAGAATTATTCTTGAAAGCTGAGCAACCTAGAGGTTTTCAGGTCCATGGGATGCAGACTCAGCAAATAAAGGACAGTATCTGTTATGTTGTAAATAAGAGCTTTCCTCCACATGTGACTCCTTTTTTCTCCCAAGGTGTGCTGCTCCCCTTCTCAGCAGCCTCAACCAGCTGTTTACCTCCCCATAGCGCCTCACCTTCTCTCTGCTCTGGATCTCGCACTTGATCCCATCGAGAACCAGCTCCAGCCCAGGCCGATACCGCACTTGATAGTCTATAAATCTTATCTCTCCATTGTTGGGCCAGCCAGAAGGTGGTCTCTGGGCTGTTACCCATGGTGCCTGCAGGAGAAAGAACGGGCATCACACAAGATATATTTGAATCATTGGGACCTCTCCCACAGCACAGCAATCTTGCAAACCCCATCCCACATCACCACAGCTCCCCATACCTCATTTTCCACATGTGTGTATTCATGCACTCTCTCCACAGCCACAATGTTGGTCTCCAGCTCTGAAGTCATCCGCACCAGCCAGTTCAATGTTTGGGTGATCTGCATGGTAGTGGAACTATCACTAAAACAGCCCTGGTCCTCCAGCCCTTCCCCTTCCCTGCCCCATACTTAAGAGAGCCCATTGATTCCATTTGGCCACATCTGCAGACACAAGGAAGAAAGGCACAGGAGCATGTCTTCTTATGAGAATCCCTTTTTAAAGCCAGAGTAGCCTTCTCTCACACTCCCATCATCATTACTACTATTTATTAATTAAATTGATTTCCTGCCCTTCCTACTGAAGGAATCCAGGGCAGCAAACACACAAGTGATAATTAAAACATCTAAAAACAAATTCCAATACAGATGCAGACTGGGAAAGGTCTCTATTGAAAGACTTTGTTGAAAGTGATAGGCAACAGAGATGGTGCCCGTCAAATATTTAACAGGTGAAAATTCCAAAGCATAGTTGTCATAACAAGAAAGGCTGGGTTCCTATATTGTGTGGAATAGACCTGATAAGACGCCATCTGCAAGAGGCTCTCACCTGTGAAGTGCAGTGATCACTGATTGGGTACATAAGGGGTGAGATTGTATTTTAGGTATCCTGATCCCAATCGGTCTATACCAGCACCTTGAACTTAACCTGGCACCTAGCTATGTAGTGAGTAGCTCTTGGGCTTCATGACAATAGGTTCTCCCTAACTCCATCCCTAATCCACTTTATTTTCAACACCTGATGGTTTATGAAAACAGGTAAAAAATAAATTGCAAGAAAACCCCCCAATTAGGCACTGGATGCCTAATTTGTGTATCAATGCACCTTACAAAGACCCAGTATAGCCATTATTCTGGCCGCTTACATTGAGAGCTGAGGAGACAGAAAGTCCCACAATGCCACTGTCCAAAGTATCCTTAGCAAAGACTGCCAATAGCGCTGCAAAGAAAACCACCAGGTTCCCCACAAATTCTAGGCGCACAGCCAGCCACCTGTAAGGAGGAACAAATGCGGAAGGGAAAGGTGAGTGCTCCATCAGTACCACAACCTGCAGCATCTCAAATCCAGCCACTGCCATTGAGCAGAAGAGGTGTTCCTGCTTTCACTTCAGAGTCAAATTTTAGCAATTGGCATCTGGCAGTGATGCCTAAGCACAGCCTCCTGATCTCCCAAATGCTCAGCCTGTACCAGCCCACTTAGAGTCATGTGAGAAAGGAAGGCATGTTACTTTGAAGTAACCTGGATAAGCTGCACACCTAGAGAGGCTCCACCAGGCCAACAGAAAACTGTACAGTACTTTGCTTTAGGCTTTGTAGTAACACCCAAACGAAAAAAGTACACCTGCTGGTGTTGGCTGAGGACTGGTCGTCCCTTTTTGAGGACTGGGGGCACCTTTTCAGCTTGGGGGCCACATTCCCCTCTGGGCAAAGTTGCAAGTGCCACGTGCTAGTGGTGCACAGGGGCAGGGGCAGAGGCAAAGGTGGGCAGAACTATGGGTATAAAATTTACCTTTGTACGGCAGGCTACTTTCTAGACACACTCCTACACCCCAACACCCATCCTCCATCCAGAGAACCAAAGGCATGGCCAGAGTTCAAGGACACATTCCAGCCTGGCGAAAACCATTCAGGGTCTGAAATGGAGCGAGGGAGGGGTGTGGCCTGGGGAGAGGTCTGAGGCACAGAAAGACAGTCCCAAAGGGCTGGATTTGGCCCCACAGCCTGAAGTTCCCAACTCCCTGATTTAGAGAATAGGCCAAAACCTTCCACATCGCAGTCCCACCTGTTGGAAACGATCCAAGAATACACAGATTTCTGGTTGATGTCCACAAGCTCCTCATTGTGTTTCAGGAAGCGTTCCTGGTGCCCGTAGGCCCGGATGACAGAGAGGCCCGACACTGTTTCGCTGAAGTGGGAATAGATGGGAGACCGGGTGACTGAGTCCAAACGCCGCAGCTGGCGGGAGGTGGCCACATAGAACCGCTAGGAGGAGAGAAACGCACTAGTGATAGCCACAAGAAAAGCAGAGACCTCCCAGCCTTACCATTATCCCTCACTCCTAAAACCATTGCTTGCAGCAGACCCTCCAAGTGTCCCTATTTTCCAGGGTCAGTCCCGTATTTACAGAAGCCATCCCAGTTTCTGATTTGATTCCAGAATGTCCCACTTTTCCTTAGGACGTCCCTATTTTCATCAGAGAAATGTTGGAGGGTATGGTATGCAACCCATCCCTGAGCCAAGGAGATAAAGTAACTATACAACCTTTAGAAGACATCTGAAGGTAGCCCTGTGTAGGAAAGTTTTTTAATGTTTATTTTTTAGATTTTTAAAAAAATGTTGGAAGCAACATATAGGGCAATCTAGTCAGATAGGCAGGGTATTTATAAAATAATAATAAAAATTATTATTACAATTACTATTACTATTGAATAGGATGTCCCTATTTCCATTGGATAAATGTTGGCAGGTATGTTGCAGCTGTTAGTGAATATTTTGCCAATGGGAGACTAGGACTATGCCATTCTACAGTTTCAGAGGTGTTTGGTGAGTCTGCCTTCTGAGAGGAAATGCTAAATCAACTCTGGGACTCAAGTTTTGCTTTATTATTCCCAAGCACCAGTTTTGCAATGATGTTAGCCATAATCTGTTGTTCACTAGTAAGCCCATGCCAGGAGAGCTTTAGAAAGGTTTGATGGAGTCATTGTTTCTGGTGTGCTTTAAAAACATGGATTTCAGAGGGCTGGCATCTGCAGTGACTTACAGCGCCTGTTTGTAAGCACATTAAATGCAAAGAAGCCTGTTTGGAAAATGAAACCTATCTGATGGTATTACATTGGCAGTTTTACATCATTCAAAAATAACTAATACAGGGAGGAAATCAACACAGCAGCTATGGAAATTGTTCCATCAGTGCAAGCATTTCAGCTTGCCAGACAAAATGTCCCCCTCTCCTCCTCTGTGTGCTATTCTGGGGGTTCTCCTGATCCCAACAGAGCCAGTTTTGGGCAGAGGACAGAGGCAAAAGTCCCATTGCGTAGGATTCTACTAGTGGGACCCATTAGCTGAATCCTGCCCACAGTTGGGTATTTTAGAAGGAAGAGGTATACAGCTCCTATGAAACAAGAAGCAGTTAAAAGAAAACAGTTTGCTCTGCTGCAAGCTGAAAGGTGTGTTCTATTCTGCACTTGGTCTTGTGGTCGCTCTCTTCTTTCAGCTGGCAAGAGCATAGCTCCTTCCAGTCACTGACATTCTGGATAGCAATATAGTTCTGCTCTGATATTGAAGATTTTGATCCTCTGCACTTCCCTGGTCATCACAGAACTAAGGGGTTGAACAAGTTTCTCTCAGAGTAGACCCACTGAAATTAATGAACCCAAGTTAGTAATGTCCATTAACTTCAGTGGTAATGAATAGCAAAGCAGGTAGGTATTGGAGCTGAAGCCCCATGGCTCAAGCAACAGTTCTGAATGGATGCAACTTGGCAATAAAAGGAACGTCCGCTTCCAAAGAGGCTGGGCCCCAACTCACCTGAAGAAAGTAGTATATGATACCCAGAGGCAGCATGACAATTGCAAAATAAGGTGTGGCCAGACAGATTATAAACAGAGTGCTGAAAATCCCCAACAAGCAGTTAATCCAGGAGCGAAATGACATGGGAATGCTCTCGTCCACAGTGAAAATGTCCTGCAGGGGGCAGAGAGGAGGGAGTTGTCAAAAGAAATGAGAGTTGGTAGCATCATGCTGTACAACCTAGATTCATGAGTGGCCAGATATGAACGAGAGTGGTTCAAAACCGAGCTGGAAACAAAGGTTTCACTTTTAGGTCTATCACTCTCACATTTATTTCTGCCATTATGATTATTATTATTATTATTTCACACAATCACTTTATGCAATGCTCACACACAGTTTTTATGTTTTAATAGTCTTTTATGATCTGTATTATATTTTATATGTTTCACTTCTATAAACTGCTTGGGTGTTCCCTGAATGTAAAGTGCTTTACAAATTCTGAGATGGGGGGGGGCATGAAATGCCAAAGTTCTTCTAAACTTCATTCAACCAGTGCCCTTTTCTACTATTATGAACTTACTCAGGTTTTCTCATTTGAATTCTCTCTCCTTAACTTTAAACATTTTTCTCATTATTCTCCCTAACCTACAAACTGGTTTTGTTGTTTGAAAGTTCCATAGACAAGCACCACACCTTTTCTTTGCATTATGAGCTTTCTGCACCCATTTCATACATCTCAATGTATAAGATAATGGAGACCTCTGTGTGCAGCGTTAGACACTCAGGGCTGATCAGTGAATCGCGTTCTCTGCTCAAGGGAGGACTGGTGGTAGGAAACTCCCCAAGTGGAGCAAGGCACACAGGAATGGAGGTGGTGGAGGATGTAAATTGCAGCTGGCTTGGGTCTGAATTCTTCTAAGAAATTATGCTTTTTTTCTTTTCCTTTTTTAGTTTTTTAGGTTTTTTTTCAAATTTATACATTTCATTAGTTCTCCAATCAATTTAACATTTCAAAATTTGACTTCTTTCCCTCTCTTTCTGCGGTTCCTTAAATTTATTTTTTAATATATTCTGAATATCCAAATTCATTTAACTTCCTCATTTAATTATCTACTGTAAGTATATACTCTTATAAAACTGCTAATGTTTTTATCTGTTTACAATTTATCTGTAAAGATTCAATATTATGCTTTTAAAGTATTTTTGTTATTTTTATCAGTGTAAATAGTTCTTTACATAAGTAAGTCTCCAGAAAGGTTCTTGCAGGGAACTTACAATCTAAATTGATAATGGGAAAATCTACAGGGGGTGGGGGATGGGAGAGAGAGATTTCCCCATTATCTTGGTCCCACTGATTAAAAAGAAACAGGTTTTAAAAACCACCCAATTTACTGAAAGCTGGCAGACATGTGTCATGGCTGGTGATGGGAAACAGACCAAAGTTACACGAATTATAGCCCAGGAAAACCTAACCATGAAATGCACCCATCTTTTCTCTGCCTGTTAACTTCTTCATGTTTACATGATTTCAGCTTGAATCCCCCAACCCCAAACTTTTTGGTTAGCTTAAACCAGGACTGCAATGCTGAGGGTGCTATGCTGCTATAACAAGGGCAACTGGCAAGGGTGTCTGGAAACTACTTCTGCTACTGCACCTTGAAGGGATGGTCCAAACCAAGGGTGGTGCCAGTCTGGTGCCCTTCATATGTTGTTGGACTCCAGCTCCCATCATCCCTCACCATTGACTGTGTTGCCTGGGGCTGATGGAGCTGAGAGTCCAGTAACACCTCCAAACGGTTACACATCTGCAGGGAGTGCACATGCAGTTGTGCAAGGAAGGCTGGAAGCTAAGCCTGATAGGATCCCACAAGAATCTCAAAGCAGCTCTTCGTGCATCATCAGCAGAGGTGCCCCCATTCCCAACACACTCTCAGCAAGTTATAGCTTGAGGCACTGGCCAATTCCTCCTGGCCCAGTTAAAAACTTCGGCAACGACTTTTGAGTCTTTGCAAGCCTCACGGAGCGTGAGCTCATACCTTGGCAAACCTGTTCACGATGCGGCCTGTTGGTGTCGTGTCAAAGAAGCTCATGGGCACACGCAGGATGTTGGACAGCAGCCGCTCGTGTAGGACCCGGGAGGCCCGGACAGCACCGTGGGCAGCAAGAAGGGCTGAAGTCAGCAGGAATAGAGCTAGAACAAAGACATCCATTGGTAAGGACCTGATGCGTAGGGAGATACTGGAATCAACAGCCTTAGGCCATTTGGTACTAGAGGACAGGGATAGGAACCTGTGGCCCCCCAGATGCTTTTCCTGACAACAACTTCCATCATTTTAGATCATTGGTTATGTTGGATAGGGCTGTGGGACATGACATTCTGTTCCATGACATCTGGAAGACCACAGGTTGTCCATCTCTGATCTAGGTGAATTAGGGTGCAGTTCCATCTGCCTTGGTGTTGTGCCCTGATGATATCACCTCCATAGACCTCTAGTGGTGCCCTCTGCAAAATGCCACCCTGGATAGCTGCCCATGTGTTCCCAGTAATGGGTCTATTGCTTTCAGCTGTGGGTCCAAATTTCACAGGTCTTTGGACCTTGAAAACTGCTACCAGCTCAAGAACAGAGCTTCCTGCTCTCAAGTGGAAGCCGTGTTGGACGTTCTGCTTCTGAAAAACGTTCAAAAACCGGAAGCACTTACTTCCGGGTTTTTAGCGTTTGGGAGCTGATTTGTTTGTCAACGAACAGGGCACAGGGCAGTTTCTGGCCACTCTACATTTCTCGAGTGGTTCTGTTTTTCGGAGACTTACACTGGCCAGCACCCAATGTCCCATAGATTCCAATACGCAGGTCACGTTGAGAAGCAGGGTAGGTCTGGTTCGCGTACTTTGCAGCATCATTTGTCCACTCACTAAGCCACAGGTTAGAGCCAATCGTGGCTACAGCTTGCCCTATGTAGGCAAGCAAGACCATTGTTGACAGGCACCAGCCAACAGCACGGAGGTACTGCAGATACATGCTGAACTTCACCTACAAGGCAGAGGGTTGTTATCAGAAACAGTGTGCCGTAGTGGGTGATCATTGCGCGCACTCTGAAATAACAGCCCTTGAAAACCTCTTACGTTCCAGCCTATGCTATGGCATATGACTCAATTAACCAGAAAATAAGCAGGAACAGTCCAGTAGTCAGTATATAAGGACAGAAAGACTGAACTGTTCCTTGGAGGGGCAGGGTTCATTAATGGACACTGCAAAGGCTCTTAAAATTGAGTGGCAGGTTAACAGGAAAGAAAGAATTTAACAAAACCCAAAATAGAGGGAACTATTCTATTCTCATTTTTTATTTTTTTGTTCGAACCGCCTGGGGATCTTCGGATGAAGGGTGGTGTACTAATTAATTAATTAATTAATTAATTAATTAAAACAGCATTACTACACCTTTTTCTTGGTGGTAATGGAATGAGGAGTCCTTCAACTAACCTCCTGCAAGGAGGTCATTCTCTGTTCCCCATCTAACTCTGGGACAGGGTCTCCACAGCCCTCCTCCCTTCCATCCCTTTGAGACCTTCACTTGTCCTAATTATGAGGCAGGAGAACATTTTGACCCCTCCCTCTCACCTTGCCGGTTTCCATGGCCTCCTTGTCAATCAGCCTCTGTCCTTTTACCTCAGTCACTGGCTTCTTCTCCTTCAACTTCATTCGCTGTGACATCGTGAGCGACCTGTGGCTGCTGTTACTAAGGCTAACACAGGAGAACAATGATGAGGGACAGAGATTCTATCGTCCTTCCCTGCATGCTCTGGGCGCTGTGCTGCCCTGCCTGCCATTTTGTTTTTCTAAAGTATTTATACCTTGCCTTTTAGCCAAAATGGGTCTCAGAACAGTTTACAAAAATCAGTTCTAAGACGGTTTCTGCCCTCAGGGTGACAATCTAAAAATACACAACACATGAAACCTGTTGTCTTGTGACTGGTACTGCACTAAGAGCACATTAGGATGACCCAACATCCCAGTTCATCGTTTTCCCTGTATCACCCAATTTGGTTTTTCTCAGACCATCAGAGGTGGCTGAGATCAACAAGAATTCTGGAATGAAGCTGAAAGTCTGAGTATGCCCAATGAGAAAAACATCACAGAACTTTGGAATCAAGGCAGCTGAGGGTAAAACTCAGCAAAGTATCAGCTATGCCAAGTCCAGAGAACCTGTGCCCACCCACCCCAGATGTTGTTACAGTATACCTCCTGAATGGGAGTGACAACATCTGGAGGGCCATAGGCTTCCCATTCTTGAGCTACACAGCGACAAAACCGTTCTGATCCCAGGCCCTGCAAGCCCTAGGAGGATGTTGATTGGGCAAGTGTGTGAAAGATGAGGTGACTTGATGTGGTGGTGCTGAGCGTGTTTTTTAGCCATGTGAGGAAAGATGCTAGGGTCATAGAGGAGACTCTAGGAAGGAATCAACACTTGCCTAGGACTTCTGGTTTTGAGGGGGCCCCTTTGGTCCCCACCTACCCCAACCCTAAGGCCTTGCTCAATAGCCTTAAATAAATTCCAAATGGAAGAAAGGAAAGGGAGATATTAGAAAGACAGGGAGAAAGATGGGGAGAATAGGAAGGCAAATTAGCAAAGAAAGTGGCTGTGAGTTCATAGGAGGCCTAACCTGCGGATGAAGTCCTTTTGGTGGACACTGGCCTCACTCTTCTGGGACATGGTCACCACATCAGTTGGTACCTCCTCAGCTCCAGGTTCAGTGTCCCCATCCAGTTCTAGGTCCTCTTCCATCCCCACTAAAAAAAAAGTCAAGAGCGTGGCATGAAACTCAGGAAGTTCAGGAAGAATGAAGTCTGAAGGTCACTATATCAGGTCATTATCTTAGGTGGATCCTGTCCCACCTGCCCCACAAGAGTTGTCTCGTTGCTGTTCAAAATGGAGTTTTGATATATGGAAGTTACAAATCATATTTATGGCACCACTTTACTGTGACTCACTCCAGAACAAGATGCATACTGGACAGTCACTTCGATCAATGTCCCTCAACCCTGTATACAAGGCGTGAGGAACCTCTGGGCCACAGGCCAATCTTAGCCTGCCAGTGGTACCACCTTGGACCTCAAGGCCATTTTCTCAAAACCATGCCCACCTGTCAATCAGCTGGCATTGCTCTGATGGGCAGCTGCAGGTGAAGTGCATGCAGCCAACAGCAACAGAACCAGTTCCCCACAGGAAAGTTGGCATGCGCAATCAATGCAACAGGATTTAGGAGAGTTAAATCCTGCTCCATGTGTCAGGATTCAGTTCAACTCTCTTCCTAATCAGGAAAGGGTTTACACTGAAATCCCTGCTAGAGGGGGGAAACCTTAGTTGTGGTAGACGTTGCAATGCAAACCGCCTCCCTGATTACGCTACTAAATCAAATATGTTTTCTTCTGTTTCAGCAGCACCTTGCTTTATTGTGAAGTCAGGCGACAGGTGAGGAGCCCAGCTCAGCTGTCAAATTTGGCTTAAAAGGCCAATCTTGATAAGGTTCCCCCACCCCTGCTGTATAATGTAATGCTTTCTTACCTGTAGCTTCCTCTTCAGGACTGTTTTCCTGCTGGTTTCCATATGTGTTCAGCAGCTGAGCAAATGCTTTACCATTAGCCAGTAAGGTGCTGTAAGAACCCTGTTCGGAAACAGTTCCAGCCACCAGCACCACAATGTCATCCACTTGGGCCAGGAAGCTTAAGCTATGAGTCACCAGGATCCGGGTCTGTGGCACAAACCAGCATATCACAATTAAGGAGGTAGTATCAAGAAGATGTATGGGTTAAACCACAGAGCCTAGGACTTGCTGATCAGAAGGTTGGCAGTTCAAATCCCTGCGACGGGGTGAGCTCCTGTTGCTCAGTCCCAGCTCCTGCCAACCTAGCAGTTCGAAAGCACATCAAAGTGCAAGTAGATAAATAGGTACCGCTCTGGCGGGAAGGTAAACGGCGTTTCCGTGCACTGCTCTGGTTCACCAGAAGCGGCTTAGTCATGCTGGCCACATGACCCGGAAGCTGTACGCCGGCTCCCTTGGCCAATAAAGCGAGATGAGCGCCGCAACCCCAGAGTCGGCCATGACTGGACCTAATGGTCAGGGGTCCCTTTACCTTTACCTATCAAGAAGATGGCACCCCAAGCCACTCCGTACCCTGGACCTATGACATTATATCAGGAATGCTTCTACAGGCACACTGTGGACTCACCTGTCTCTCCTTTACAAAAAGCCCACTTCGCTAACTTAAACTAACCCTCCTGAATCCTCCTCCTCCTGCAAGCTTTGAAAAAAACAAATGCTATATCTATTTCCCCATTGAAATGGCCACTCCTTCAAACACAGGCACCAGAAATCCCTCCCAGCAGCTACAATTTCTAGGATGCAGCTCCAGCCTGAAGAGAAGCAGCTGAGCTTCCAGCTTGAAGACTCTCAGCTGACTCTCCAAGCCAACTGGAACATGCCGGCCCCTACAAAACCACTGCAACCAACCTAAGCCACTAGGTAGAGCATCTTATTGAGGAGATCTCCGCCAACTCCTTTTCCTTGGACTGTGATGACAGCCTGCTACCTCACATCTGCTCCTGACCCCATCAACCCCCTGTTGCTGCCTTTCTGCCAGGTTCTGACTCTACACATGCCTCTGGCCTTTGGATCATCATCTGCATGAACTCCAGACTACCTACGATCGCATCTATTGCCTTCGATCCAGTGTTTGACCTCCACTCCATCTGTGGCCACATCTGTTTCCCTTCTGATCCTTGAACACCTCTACCTGAACAGGACCCACTCTTGGAGCTAGGTTAGGTCCCGACATTTGGCTTTCATGCATCTTAATATTGCCGTATGTTGAATTTCTAATCCTCTTTATTTAGCATTGTTTTCTTGTTTTAACTTAGCCTTCTGCCAGCTGCCTCAGTTTTCTAAGAACACGCTGAAAGGCAGCGTCACAAAACAGAAGCAAACACCAAATCCAGCTGATGCAGTTGATTAAATTTACTGTTTCAAGTAATATGGACCTCAATCCTAAAGAGGGTTGAGCTCTACACTCTTTACCAGGGACAAAGCAAGCTTCCATCTATAGAAAACAGTCACAGACCATTTGGAGTCAGTGACTTCTTTTGGAGCCAACTTTCAGTTACCTGAATCAGTAACGCTTGTCTCCCACACTGGCTAGATTTTTGTTCGCTTTTTTGTTCGCTTTGGGAGAAAGGTGGAGTATCAGTCTTGTAGCACTAACAAACAAAACATTTCTCCATCTGCTCTTCACAAAACAGGGTCTGCAGGGCAGGCAAGAGCTCACCTTATGCTGCAGCAGCCCCTGTGGCCCCAGCACTTGGTCAAAAATGTGTCGTCCTACATGGGAATCCACAGCCGACAGGGGGTCATCCAGTAAGTAAATGTCTGCGTTGTTGTATACAGCTCTGGCCAGGCTGACACGCTGCTTCTGGCCTCCACTAAGGTTAATGCCCTGCAGAAAAAGCAGCCAAGCTAGGATCTCTGAGCTTTCTCTATGGTTCAGTGCATGGCAACAACTTGAGCTCTGATTACTTGAGTCAGAAGCAGCCCCCTCCAATGGATTTGGCTTGGTCAGCCTTGACTGATGAAGATGGTCCTGCTGAAACTCACACCACATGACAGTGAATACTATAATACTCTACAACAATTCAGCATTTCCCCGTAATCATCCATCCAATCAAATGCCCTTCCAGGACTTCTCCTACCCTTATGCACTCTCCCAATAACAATTCTCCTGCCCTCCCTTAGTCCTGCACAGCTGCCTACATTAACACTTGCTCTTCCCACACCTCATACTGATGTCCAAAGATAACTAAATATGATCAGTGTTAACTCTCAATGACAGTCATAGAAAAGTAGAATTTCAGAGTTGGAAGGGACCCTAGTCCAATTCCACTCAATGCAGGAATATGCAGATGTCTCATATGGCGTTATCAGCACCACACTCAACCAAGTGAGCTATCCATTGGAACTCTTAAGAATCTCCATGGAAAGTTTTTGTAATTCAGAACAGAGTTGGATGTTTTTGTTTTCTTCCAGGATCTCTATGGGCCATGAAAGAAAAACACAGCTACATGTGGCCACGAGAGCACTAGTAACCATTACTATTTGGCTAGGAACTTTTGTAGATTTCTTTGCAAGGCTGGACCATCACCCACAGCATCCCTTGTTCCTGCATATATCAGAGCCATCTCCCTCCCTGTTCTACTTGCTCCATTGCCCCAGATTACCACCTGCCCCTTCTGCCATTAAGCCCAAGGTTGGCACCTTCTCTCCAATCTCAGTAAGGTCTCCTCCTGGCAGCAACTGCAGGTCTGGGAGAAGAGCACAAGCATCTATGACCTGTTGGTATCGGGCCTCATCGAAGGGTGACCCAAAAAGGATGTTGTCCTTCAGTGTGGCATTCTGGATCCATGCTTGCTGAGACACATAGGCTATGGAGCCCTGAAGAAGCAAGAGGAAGAGGAGGAGACATCTATCTAGTCAATAGAACTTGGGAAAATCAGTGAATTGGAGATTAGCTTCTCTGGGGCTTCTTAGCAGAGCCGCCACTTTCTCTCACCTGAACATTGATATGTCCTTTGATGTTCTCCATCTCTCCCAACATGGCTGACACCAGCGAGGATTTGCCTGATCCCACAGGTCCTACAATGGCCAACAGGTGCCCATTTGGAATTTTCAAGTTTATGCTGCAGGAGAAAAGTAGCACATGGAAGAAGCATGTATACGGAAGTGGACTGGTCTTTAGGGCCAGAAAGGAACCATCCCGATTGAGAGAAACTCTACCAGTACATTCTCATTATCGTTCAAGACCTGGTTTACCTTTCCCTGCCTTATCCAACAGGCAAGTGGGTAAGAAAGGACCCCCCCCCCCCCGCTTACAACTGTAACGCAAAGGATCACAGACATATCCCTAAATCCCCTCCCCACAAACATACAAAATTGGTCTGGTATATGGTGACTTACTCTCTAATGGTGGCATCTGAATTTTGTTCCCAGGCAAAGGAGGCCTCAGAGAAAGTCACAGCACAGCCTAGAGGAGAAAGAAAAGGTAGCATTATCATCAAGGACAGCGTAGGAACGATTCCGGCCCCATCACAGAACACAAGTCACACCTAACTTCTTACGCATTTTTACCAGCCTTCTACATTTGCTTCAGAACTCTGCCTGCTATGACCTCCAAACCCTAACCTTCAATTACCAGGGCTCGGTTCATGACATATGGCCGAAGTGTTCAGGTCTTCACTGCCCAGGTAGCGCTCCAGCCGTTCAGTAGATACATTGACCTGTAAGGTGCAGATGCAAAGTCAGGCATGCCAGGCAGTGATTGGGGTACCAGCACACCTGCAGAATCCAATTATGATGCCTATGCCCACTTTAAACATTTTTAGAGCTATGATCAGCACCAACTGATTAGGTTTGGGAGCTTCTCTTTCAATTTCCCTCAATGCCTCTGACATGGGGTTATGCTGAGGCATTATGGGAAATTAAAACTGCAGCACCCAGACCCAGCCATCCAGCGATGATCAGAGCGTTGGCAGTCACGGCTGCCTCCCTTGCCAGGTAAGACTGCCTGGGGACACTTTGCCAAAGACCTTCTCAAAGCTGGGGCATGGAGTAGCTTGGTGCTTTCTGGTGCTCCATGGCTTGTTGAGAGAGACATTTGCCATACAGACTGATCAGGAGGCTATGATATGCAACCCAAAGCTAAGGGAGCCCCAGTGCCATTTGCACAACCCAGGACCCAACCATCTCTCTCTACAAACAGGGAGTGAACACCAAAACTGGGGTCAGGCTCCCCCTCCCACCTCAGTTACAGGATATATGTCCCTCACCAGCCTACTCACCTGTACCAGGGAGGACAATGTCAATGGCAGGAAGCCCAGAGGGAAGCGCAGGACGTTGAATAGAGAGATAGAAGTGAAGGCTTTCTGCGCATCCAAGACATTGTTTTCATCAACCAGCACATACACAGCAAATGTTACCACAGAGACCTAAGGAAGGAGAGTCAGGGGGTGAGGGGCATCTTTTACATTGCAAGGAATGAGCAAAAGGAACAAAAATAGTGTGCTGTCTTACTATGAAAGGAGCACAGGCAAAGAGGAAGATGGAGACGGACTGCAGGTAGGCAAAGCGCAGCAGCCGCTTCAGCTCCTGTGCCCGGATACCTCCGACTCGTTTCTCAAATGACGGCTCCCAGGCAAACAGCTTCAGGATCTGAAAGGATGCTTCTGGTCAGATATGGGGCTCAGTTCAACAGAGCTTTCTATCCAGTGAAAGCAGGAGCAGGGCCCCATCCTACCATGTCTCATTTCCAGCACAAGCCCCTTCCCGACGCACACATTGCAGGCAAAGGCTAAGCAGGCGCTGACCTTGCATGCCTGCTTTGGGAAGGCATCTGGCAGAGATCAGAGGCAACACTCCCAGTTATCCTCTGCCTTATCTGCAATTCAAACTCCACTTACCGAGTAGTAAGCCTAACCGAATTCAAATGGACTTAATTATCAGTAGACGTGGCTAGGATTGTGCTGCAAGCAATGCAAGGTCAGACTAAAAAAAAAATCCATTGATGTTTCCATCACTACAGCCAACTCATCACTGTGTTGGAGTAATCTGGTCTCTGCTACTCACCTTGATGCCGCTGAGAATTTCATTCATTATTTTCATGCGCTCATCCTTGTGCTTCATGTTCTTCACCTACGCAAAGAAGTTGCAAAGAGGGAGTTGATCATTGTTCCAGCCCCACATAATACGTTGCCCAGGGACAAGTCATTTGTGCTTTGTCTCTGACAGTTAGAGGCACCACATTGCTACAGTTTTGCTCTTAATTCTCCAATAGATCTCTGAAAGTGAAGCTGGGAGGTTGATGCTGTGCCCTTTGGGACTTATTCTACAGAGGTCTACAGTGCTCAGTAATACACACACACACACACACACACAAAATACACGCATTGTCTCTTTTTTTCAAGTTGTGTTTTCTACAGATTACAATGCTCAGTCTTGTCCTAAGCTCTGAAACATCTACATTAAACTGGGATACTCAGACTTCAGGATTTTGAATAAATGAACCGGACAGACTATTTTTAATAGGCTGCTTTTAATAGAATCAAATCTACTCACTGAGGCCCAGTGCAAAAAATGACACAGGGCAGTTACCGTACATTCAAAATTCAAGGTTAGCATTTGAAGCACACGCTTGGCCTAAGAATTTGTCCTCTGTAGCAGAACTGACCTCACAGCCCTTTCAAGCAAAAAGGCACTGCTGGTTCCCCACCCGCCCAGGACATTCCTTCCCTCACCTGGATGGCTCTGGCCTTTGTGACCAGCACAGCATTGATGGGGATAAGCAGGACCATGACAGCAATCCCAGCGAGCACAGAGGGACCGAGCTCCAGCCACAGAAACACTATAGACAGCACAATCTGCAGGGGAGCCGACCACAGCTGGTGCATCATGTTTGTGAAGTCCATGAAGCGCTGAGCATCTGCGGACATCAGATTCACCGTCTCGCCCACCGTGGATTCCTTCCGTGTGGCATTGGAAACAGTAAGGGCCTGAAAGCAGATACAACAGTGGCTGTAAAAACTAGGGGTACCAGATAATGCCATAGCCATTAGGGACCAGGGCACAAAGCACTAAGGATGAGCAAATCTGTCAGTGACTTCCTGTCTCTGTTTCTCACTTTTCCAATCTTCACTTTAGTCCTCCACATCGGTTTGCAATTTTTAAAATACAATCCATGAAAATCCATCAGCATTTTAGTATGAATTTCTCCTAATATACCCATTTGCATGCAAACTTGCCTAATGTACACATCTCTGCAAAGCTGTTTCCCCAAATATAATGCATCTGTGTGTGCTATTACCACTTATATATGCATTTTGTGCACACTTTATCCCAGTGCATGCATTTCTGTATGCATTCCTTGGCTGGATAACTGCACTGCAAAAAAATCAATGAAGTGTGAATGTCAAAGGATCCTTCCATCCCAAGATCCAGGGGAAAGCAGTCCAAGTTGATTGGCCAGTACTAAGGAGAGCAGCCCCCACAAAAGGCGAAGGACTCAGCTGACCTTCTTGTAGATGGCAGCCATAAGAGCAGTGCGTACGAGCATGCCCAGTTCAAAGCAGAGTTGGAAATACTGCTGTAGGCAGATGGATTGCACCAGTGCGGTCAGAAACAGCAGCACTGCATAGAGGTAGCCATGCCAAAGGTAGGCATTTGGGTCTGACACAAAGGAGATCATCAGCCTGCAAGAGAAAATATTGATGAGCATCTCTCTAAATTCGACTCAGACTTGCACAAACCACACCCCAATAACACGCCCGCCTCCCACAAGCCCTACACATCAGCCTCTTGTTCTTCCACACACAGGCTACAGGCTCCTCCTCAACCAGGCTCATGCAATGCAACCATACGTCACATGTGGACAACCCACAGGCCACATGCAACCTTTGTGGCTCTCTCTTGAACACCTCCATGTCTCCAGCGGACAATTTAAGTATATATGTCCACCCAGAAATAAGTCCCATTGTGCTCAGTGGGACTTATGCCCAGTCCCAGCTAAGTATACATGTGATAGCAGCCTTAGGGATATACCTGTATCTCAATAACTCATCACTATTCCTCAATGCAGAGACCAAACTGTGTTCTTCCCTGGAGCAAACTCTGCTACTTATCCCCTACAGTGGACAACTAATATGAGACAGCTAAAATGGGACCACAGTATAAAACCTGGACCTGGGAAAATCATTTTTCAGATCCAAACCCTGGCTTTCTCTCAGAATGTTCCTCATCTATAAAAGCCATCTTAATGCACCATCTTACAGCAGAAGCGCAAGGAGATTGTTTTAGTTGCGCCTGGAATCTTCAGGCACATAGTTTGTGCCTTTAAAACGGTGAGAATGTTTTAAGGAATTCATCAGCGTGTGGATGGTCCAGACCGTATACAGTGGTACCTCGGGTTAAGTACTTAATTCGTTCTGGAGGTCCATACTTAACCTGAAACTGTTCTTAACCTGAAGCACCACTTTAGCTAATGGGGCCTCCTGTTGCTGCCGCGCCGCCGGAGCATGATTTCTGTTCTCATCCTGAAGCAAAGTTCTTAACCTGAAGCACTATTTCTGGGTTAGCGGAGTATGTAACCTGAAGCGTATGTAACCTGAGGTACCACTGTATATGGATTTCCAGCCAGTGACAAGATCTTCCTGCATCAGAAGCTTATTTAAACCCCATCACCCACCATCCAGGGCACCAGGAAAACTCAGAATTAAAAAGTGGAGCTAGGAGGACTCACTTCAGTAGCTGAGGGCTCACAAACACCAGGAGGTCTTGCACTACCTTGAGTGCCACTGATTTCATAAGGTTCCCAGCAAAGGTTCGGAATATAGAAGCCATCAGCCAGCTCTTCGCGTAGTCACCACGAGAGTCTTTCTTGTCTGCCTCCTTCTTGCCTTTTTCCTTTTTCTCTTCCTAAATTCAGAGCAGGGTTTAGGTCTGGCAGGCATCAAGCAGCCCCCAACTCTCAGGGTGGGGCAACTGCCACATAAAGCCAGCCATCGTATTTATTTATAAAGATTTATTAATTTGATAAATTTGTATCCCACTTTACTTCGCAAAGGAGCCCCAGGGTGACAAACAAAAAGTTATAAACTATAGAAACATTATTTTGAACCTCTTAAAAAGAATTCCAATACAGATGCAGACTGGGAAAGTTATTAATTTAGAAGGCTCCCTGAAAGACGATGGTCTTCAATAGATGCCAAAAAAACAATAGAGATAGCACCTGTCTAATTTTCAAGGGGAGCAGGGTTCAAAGGACAGGGACCGCAACATTAAATGTCCGATTCCTACATTGTGCAAAATAGAGCTTCTGATATGTGCAGAAGCCCCCCCCCCCCATAAAGCACAGTGATATTGCCACCGGCCCCCCAAATAGCTCTAAGCTGCAGTGGCCTAGGGGATCCTGTGTGTAAGATTTCCTCCCTTTCAGCCCAGCATTTGGATCTGAAATGTAAGCCCCATTCTCTCTCCCAGCAGCAGTAGTTACCAAAACCAATGCATCCTGACTCTGGGCTTTGCTCAAGCCATTCATGTGCTGGTCAGTAGCTGCTGAATGAAGTTTCCTCTTCCGTTGCCGGATCTCCAGTTTCCGCTGAGCATTTTTTATTCCAGCTCTCATGTTCTTCTCGAGCGAGCCTAAAATTTTCCCCGTCTTATGTTCTTCCTTCAAGTCCCAGAGGTCATCAATTTCTAGTGGCTTGCGGTAGCCCTTGAGCACCATCCTGAAACGTACAGCAGATTTACTCAGGTGCTCAAAACCCTTCACCCCACTAACTTGTTGCTTTGACCATGCTCAGGCACAACAGTGAAATGAGCCCAGTATCCAAGGGTTGGGGCTTTGGGGGAAGTGAGAGGCTGCCAGCTCCCCATCAGTTGGCACTTGTTGAACAGAATGAAGAATTCCAAAAGGCTAGACCCTCTAATTAGACACACCAGAGGAAATAAAAGACTTAAATAGGAGCTTGGTTTAAAACACTACATTGCAGTACGGCATTTCTCACCATGCAAATATTTCAGATCCAGAGCCCTAGTGATTAGAACTCTGCGGTCTTAACCCCTTCATATACTAACTAGCACTGTTAGGTTTGACTGCAAATCTCCCACATGCACAACAGGAGGAGAGCAGGGAGAAGTCCTGTTTCATAAGCAGAAATCCTTGCACTAATGGGACAGATTAGTTGACCCTAACCCTAACCTTTATTCTCCTAGATGTAATACACTTATCTTTCCCACTCAGATTTGCATACCTGCTGTACCACTGGAAAGTGAGGAAGCTTAGGAAAGAGGCCACAATCTCTGGGTTCTGAAAAACACAGGAGGCAGAATGTCTAGGTGAAAAATTCAGGTAACAATAGTGTGACTAACTTGGCTGTCACTTTTGAAACAAATCCTTCAAGACACAAATGCAAATGTTCCTTTTGAGACCACTCCCACCAAACAGTGCATCAGGCAGCCAGGTGTGGCCTATGAAACCCAGCTTCCTGGTGAGCTGCTGTGTGGAAACGTTCCCTATCCCATCAAGCCCGCTCTGAGAACCTATACAAAGTGGGGATACCATGCAGAATACCAATGGCTGTTCCTGTCCCAAAAGTTATCCTACAAGTCTAGACCATGCAGGTGAAGACACTCACTTTCTTTGCAGCTTCCTTCATTTCGGGGGCAACGTCGGAAACAATAGAGATGAAGAACAAAATAAGTTGAAGCCCGTAGGAGACAAGGAAGAAGCTAAAACGTGGCACATCAGTGATGGAGCCCTGCAAGAGAAGAAAGCAAATGGGAGATACTAGTGGAAGTAACCAAATTGTGGCGCTGAACCCACTTCTTCCCAAGCAGTTAGGGCTAAAGTCTGTGCACCAGGACAACTCCTTCCTGCAGCTTTTTCACCTTTCTTCCTACTTCCCCCTGCCTCAGGACTGTCCTGAGAAATAGGGTGGGTGAACCACAGCAGACAGGCTTGCAGAGCTGAATGACCCCAGAGGTGGCTTTGCTGGGGCCACCTCAACCTTTGCCATCCTGGGTTGCCTAGTTTTTCATAGACTTCTTACGTTCCTGACCTGTATTGCTTGCCGGATGAGAGTCTGGAGCTGAAATACACCACAGAGCACAGAAAGGAGGAGGAAGATGAAGAGAGTCCCTGAGTCTCTGCGGACGGTGAAGCGGCGGCTGTCATGGATCAGCAGAACAAGCAACTGCAGTAGCGAAAAAGAGCCAAGAGTTTGCAAGACTGGGTTGGTTTCAGGGTTAGGAAATGGAGGGAGGTGTGATGTAAACTCATGGCACCAGGCTGGATATCAAACTTGATAATGAAGAGGAACCTGAGATCCACCTTCTTAGCTCACTGAACATGCTCACTTGAGACAAGCTCAAAATATGGCTTGTGACTTCTAGTTGAGCTTCCAGAATGAGATCTGGAAACAGACTGATGTATTACGGTAATTATGAAATAAGAGAACGGCCTTTGCCTTCATAATTCTAAATTTGTATAATGCTAAAAAAAATCTACCTCCACTTCCTAGCTCAGATCAGATCAGCTAGCCAGGGTGTAATTAAATGTGACAAACTAAATCAGTGGTTCCCACCCCTGTGGAGCACTTGAAAACTGCTGAGGGTCTTGGCAGAACCACTTAATGGTTTTTCTGCCTGTTGTAGCAATTGTGATGTGCTGTGCTAGAAGCTGTATGATTTTCAACTGTATTTTTATTGCTACTTTTATTTCTTAAGATACGGCTTTTGATGACAGAATTCAAATTACAATAAAATAAAATATAAGAAATAGAAGCAGCAATAAAAATACATACACACATATGTGTGTGTGTGTGTGTGTGTATATATATTTCATACCAGTGGAAGGGATATTGGGCAGGTGTGAATCTGATTGGGTTGTCAGTTCTGGTTGCTGTTTTTAACCCTTTCTCCCTGTAGTATTTTCCTGATAAATGCTGCCTCATCTCAAATCTGCTATTTGCCCCACAGGAGAAAATACACAGCTGCCCATCTTCAGGGACATACCAAATAAGATGTAACTTGAGGTGTATGATGCGCCTTGGGGTAGCAGGTTGCCATTGAAGGGACAACGCGAAAGGGATCTACCCTCGTGGAGAAGCACTTTGAGAGTAATATGAGGGTGATGGACAAATTTTGTTCATTGAATATTTGTACTAATATTATCCCACTGTTTTTATTGTATTTTAAACTACCCAGCGGACTTGGGCCAATGGGCAGCCACTGTTGTTGTTGTTGTTTTCTCATATGCGGCTTAATGTTCCTTGTTAGTTTGTTCTTTTCATGGTGTACTTGGGAAATATGGGAGTTTGATGATGGGGAATTAGTGTGGGATCACTTTTTATTATGTTCTAGTGTCTGCTTTTTAGGTTGTGGTATAAGGTTTGGGTTAATAAATAAATAAATAAATAAATAATCATCCTAAATCTCCCTTTAAAAAGAAAAAGCTGTTTCAGGCAGCTGCTTTAAAGATCCGAGAAGATCAGAGCGCTGGCATTTGGCAGGGGGGAGCATTTGACTTTTCTTCCTTGTTTTTTCTCTAATGTAACCCCCTCCCTTCAAAGTACTATTCTGGGTCTCAGGACTTGTATTAGCACACAGCCCAATGGAAACAGCAGGGCTGAAACTGGAATTGGCAACTCTGTGGTGAAAAAAACTTGTTCTTTATAAAGGACACTTTAATTCCAGACCAGGACATGGTTTGATGAAGGAGAGCTCTCACCCAACTAATGAAGTAGAGTGCTGGATTCAAGTACTGGACAATTGGGTTTCGGCTAACAGGGGTTGAGTGCGGGAGGTTTCCGAGGTCTTCGGCAACAGTGAAAAACACTTCAGCAAGGGCCATCAGCAAGAGCAGCGCAGCCAGCACCTGGCAAAGGAAGAGCAGAAGTGTCAGATTGCTACCTGCAACGTTCTAGGAGAATAAGGTTGCAAGGAGCTTCTAAACCCATCACGGAGAAGCTAGATATGCAGGGCAAAGCCACATTCCACAGCACAAGTGACCCAGGAGCACTGCTGTGCATCACACCCTCCATCAAGTAAAAATCAAGTGTACTGATGTGCCCCTTTCCTGCAAGGAATGCACTCAAAGTGGGTTCAAAACACATAAAAATCCCTGTGTTATTTATAATATATATATAGTTTTGATTGAGTATTCCTTTTTATAACAACCACAGTGCAAACTACATCGACAGCAAATACACTACAGTACTTGATTCCTAACAATTCTGTATATACTAAACACCACCACTATCGTGACGGCATTACATAAGCAAGACATGGTTCAAAGGCTTCTCGCCAAAGGACACTTAAGTTCATCTGACCCTCCAGCTTTCCTGCTCTTTCCACCCACATTTCCCAGTTAGCACAGATCCCTACTTCACTTAAACCCTTTCAGGGTTTCTCACATCACCACCATTCACCTCCCAGAGAACCGCTTTGCCCTTTGATCTGCATGCCCTTTGCTTCCACCCTGCTACTAACTCCGGGGCACACCTTTCTCTCCCACCTGTTTAATAAGGTAAACTCTTGTGACAGATGATTTCTTCATCCTGGATGTGCAGATGTGAAGAAGCTGCATTGGGCCAAAGAGCCAGAGGAAGCCCAGGGGGATCCAGACCAGAACAGTCTGTTCAAAGCAGAGTGGCAGGTCGGCATCATTCCGGTCCAGGAAAGAAGAGTTCTGGAGGCATCAAAAACAAGAAAATAAGGCATACGCCAACACTTGCTAAGATCTTTAGTACACATGTACTACCTGACATAGTTTCACATGTATCCATGCCCCACACCACTATGCGTTGCACCATTGATGGAGAGCCTGTGGTACTCAAGATGTTGATGGAGTCCAACTCTCATCCGTCCAAACTAACATGGCCAATGGTCGAGGATGATGGGAGCTGCAATCCAGCAACACTCTGGTGATGGTGACACAGGTTCCCCATTCCTGCCTTACATCTCTCTTCCAAGTTCCACTGCGGATCTACACAATTACCATGTAAACATTGACAGCAATTGCCACAATTCCAAAACCACAGCACATGCCATGAACCCATTACAATACTATAACATCTTCCAAAGATTTGCTGCATTTGCCCAATGCATCATAACACAACCCCAGGATAACTGATTTCCACCTCCAGTCTCCACTGCTGTTCTGAGGGTGTTCTTGTTCCATTGATTTACAACCACCCTTACTCATCCTTATGCCAACCCATTCAGTATGACTCACCTGCAATCAAGCCAGTTAGTGATGCTTTGTGTTAGAATCCAATGACATTTTCAAGTGGGCAAAAGTCAATGTTTGTATTCACCATAACACAGCACTGGTGTTTACTAGCAGCATGTAATTGCGTTGAACCTTTGTTGCACATGCTATCTAATAAGAGCAGTTATCAATTAGAGATACCCTGGTGGGATATCTATATGGGTGATGGTTTATGATGTACATGTTGTGTGAGCTAACATTGCTGATACTGTGTTTAACTCTCAAACTGATTTGGACATCCTTTCTTCCCCTTAATTCAACATTTACCATTATTTCTGCAGAACAAAACTGGATTTCGTTTTTACTATACTGGGATCAAAACAGCTGTAGAAAAATCTGTTTCTTACAGCGCAATGATTGCAGCCTACGTTCCCTTTAAAGAAACTTCAGCATGCAGCTTGGTTGAGCAGTTTTAATGGAGCAAATATAATTATTTAGTATTTTTGCACGACTTTTTAGGGTTTGTATTTGTAAAGAACTTTTGAGTTAAATGGGGGAAACAGCTAACGAGTCTACAGTGGAGAGAGCCCCCCAACAACACATTCCCATGATGTACAACATGCAAAATGATGTGAGTGTGTCCCACTGGAGGCAAAGCCAATAATAATAATAATAATAATAATAATAATAATAATAATAATTTATTATTTGTACCCCGCCCATCTGGCTGGGTTTCCCCAGCCACTCTGGGCGGCTTCCATAGAAACCAAAGATACAGTAAAATATCACAGATTAAAAACTTCCCTGAACAGGGCTGCCTTAAGATGTCTTCTGAATGTCAGGTAGTTATTTATCGCTTTGACATCTGATGGGAGGGCGTTCCACAGGGCGGGCGCCACTACCGAGAAGGCCCTCTGCCTGGTTCCCTGTAGCTTTGCTTCTCGCAATGAGGGAACCGCCAGAAGGCCCTCGGCGCTGGAACTCAGCGTCCGGGCAGAACGATGGGGGTGGAGACGCTCCTTCAGGTATACTGGGCTGAGGCCGTTTAGGGCTTTAAAGGTCAACACCAGCACTTTGAATTGTGCTCGGAAACGTACTGGGAGCCAATGTAGGTCTTTCAAGACCGGTGTTATGTGGTCTCGGCGGCCGCCCCCAGTCACCAGTCTAGCTGCCGCATTCTGGATTAGTTGTAGTTTCAGAGTCACCCTCAAAGGTAGCCCCACGTAGAGCGCATTGCAGTAGTCCAAGCGGGAGATAACTAGAGCATGCACCACTCTGGCGAGACAGTCCGCGGGCAGGTAGGGTCTCAGCCTGCGTACCAGGTGGAGTTGGTAGACAGCTGCCCTGGATACAGAATTGACCTGCGCCTCCATGGACAGCTGTGAGTCCAAAATGACTCCCAGGCTGCGCACCTGGTCCTTTAGGGGCACAGTTACCCTATTCAGGACCAGGGAGTCCTCCACACGAGCCCGGCCCCCTGTCTCCCAAAAACAGTACTTGTGTCTTGTCAGGATTCAACTTCAATCCATTAGCCGCCATCCATCCTCCAACCGCCTCCAGGCACTCACACAGGACCATCACTGCCTTCACTTATTCTGATTTGAAAGAGAGGTAGAGCTGGGTATCATCTGCATATTCGATGGACACCCAGTCCAAACCCCCTGATGATCTCTCCCAGCGGCTTCATATAGATGTTAAAAAGCATGGGGGAGAGGACAGAACCCTGAGGCACCCCACAAGTGAGGGCCCAGGGGTCTGAACACTCATCCCCCACCACCACTTTCTGAACACGGCTCAGGAGGAAGGAGTGGAACCACAGTATAACAGTGCCCCCAGCTCCCAGCCCCTCTAGACGTTCCAGAAGGATGTTATGGTCGATTGTATCAAAGGCCGCTGAGAGATCCAGCAGAACTAGGAAACAACTCTCACCTTTGTCCCTAGCTCGCCGGAGATCATCAACCAGCGCGACCAAGACCCCAATGCTGCCAGCCCCCAGGGCATCCCTCTAGGAAGAGGATCGAGTCCCTTTATGTGACACACAAGCACCATTTTGGAGCAGAACAAACACACACAGGGCAGTGGTGGACCTTGGTGTCTCAAATTTCAGTGGCACCCTGTACAACACCAAATTCTGGCACTCTCGCCAACCATTGGAAGTAATAGTGGACTGCGCTCCCCTGGAGCTGATCAAACCCCATGCTGTACACTCTTGAGTTGTAATCTGTCAGCATGGGATCTATATACAAGTAATGATGCGCTGTAATTGGGTGCTCTGCTGTGACAATATGGGCAGGGTGGTTGTTGTCATTGTTGGGGGAGTGCCTGTTTTTTGTTTTAAATTAAAACCTCCCACTGAAATCTATGGAAATAAATTCCTTCTACAAGGGTCAGGACGGTGTAAAGTTGCACTGCTACTAGGGGCAAAACCATGATCTGGAGTACAGAATATGTATCCTCTTCCTGTGTCACCCACACAACTCCTCACTGTTTCAGTTGCGCCGCAGACACCCAATTGCCAATGAAACTACATCAGTGGAATATTTTGACGCCGTTATCAGTCATGTGTTATGTCATGTGACTCATCTAGTTCAGTATTGTCTACTTGGACTGGCAGTGGTTCTTCCAGATTTCAAGCAGGTACCAATGGGCTTTTGATGTTTGCCCTGACAGTTTGAAGTAATTGCTGGAGACGTCACCATTTCAGAAACACAAAATCTCGTTTTATTGGAGGCACCGGGAGAGTTCTGCCTGTTATGTATGAAACAGACTCTTGGCATGAACAGAATCAGGGGAAATCCCAACATCCTTCACTGCAAAGGAAAAGTTAGTGTTGTACTCTACTTGCCAAGAGGACCACTAGTAGCTAAGGACGTAAAGAGACAGCGATTTCCACCTGTCCTGCCTTTGTTGCAATCATCACTGTTTCCATTCTGCTACAGTTCAGTTATAACCTAAGTTAATTTGTTCTGCTATCTGTTATAGCCCAAACTAACATAGTGAATTATGTAACCAATTTCAATGCATTTTAATGAAAGGGAAACATCAAAAACAAAATTATGCATGTAATATTCATGGACCTAAATAAACAACAGCTATCATTTGTATTTGCATGGTTACTGTTCCTGATCTTGGGTGAACATACAAATTGTGGCAATTTCTGCTCCCATTTCTGTTTCTGGTGGAACGCCCTGAGATCCCTACAAGCAGTAGAGGAGACAACAACTCTCAAACAAAGACAGCTGCACTCTGATCAGCTTAGTCAGCCTCACTCATGAGCCCTTGTTTAGCAATTTAAATCTCCTGGTGCCCAGGACTTCTCCATCAATGACAAGGAAACAGATCTGGGCAATTCACTAGAAAACCAGTACCCATGGCTGACAGGGTGGTGCGACAATTTAAATTTACTTCACAGGGATGTGGAGTGATCTAGATCACGCAAAGGACTGGAGACTCCTCAAGTCAACAGCTAACCTACATGGTCATAATTATCAAGTACCAAAAGTCCTGGGAGCATACCACTTCAGAATGGAGCAGGAGAGGACCTGAACCAAGTGAAATGTTCTCTGGGAAGCTCACACATCAAGGAGACACTTAGCCTATGGGCCCTTTGCCTACGATGGACATCTTTGTCAACTCTAGAATTTGTTGTGGGCACCACACACACAACACAGCACAACCAGTACTGTTGGCTACAAGATCATGATTCTTTCAGACTTAATTTCAGCTGAGGGAGAAGTGGAGGAAGAGGCCCACATTCAGAACTCCAGTGATAGATTTCATGAACAGGAAAGCGGTTTTTTTACATATGGAATGAAGCACTTGATCCCCCCAGTTGCATTCTGCTATACTATGTGGCACGCCCAATAATGTAGATCACCTGTGCCCCCATCTTCCGTTTCTGTGTGAGATTAAAGAACCCTCCTATTTTCTCTACAGTGAATCATTTGAGTCAGAGTTACAAGTGAAACGATCATGATTGTATCATACATGGAGTGTTAACATCTCCACTAATGCTTTGGAGCCTTCTTGTCCTCTAAGACACTACAGTGGTACCTCGGGCTACATACACTTCAGGTTACAGACTCCACTAACCCAGAAATAGTACCTCAGGTTAAGAACTGTGCTTCAGGATGAGAACAGAAATCGTGCTCTGGCGGCGCGGCAGCAGCAGGAGGCCCCATTAGCTAAAGTGGTGCTTCAGGTTAAGAACGGACCTCCGGAATGAATTAAGTACTTAACCCGAGGTACCACTGTATTATTATACAGGTGACCCCTCCACTTGCATAGGGGTTATGTTCCAGGCCCTCACATGTATAAGTGAAATTGTGTAACATGGGGAGAACCTGCTAAAAAGCCTCCAAATGCCTGTTTCTCCCTGCTAAAAGTTGTATAATTCTTTATCTCCCTGACATCTGATGGGAGAGTGCTCCACAGGGGAAGGTGCCACCGCTGAGGAGGCCCTCTGCCTGGGAAAGGTCTCCTCACAAGCCATGAGGACTGTCCAGCTCTCTCCCATCTTCCAGTGCTCAGTGCACCCACTGGAGCAGTAAGCAACACAAAGATGATGTATCTGTTCATTGTAAAACCCCTGACTCGCTACGTTCAGACTGCAGGCTTTGCTTTTACTAAGCGTGCACACAGAACTAACACACCACCGCTGTCCCAACTCTCAAAGTAAACAGCCCTAACAGAGGCGTTTAGCTATCCTCCCGCAATTCAGGACATTCCACTGCACTCTGGCCTTTAGATTTACAGTGTGACATCCCTGCCAGAAGCTGAGCTACCATCCACTCAGGGAGAAACCGCCACTCACCCAGAAAACTGAGCCACAGTACTGCTCCAAGGCTGCTGCCATGGCAAGGCACTTCTTCCTCCTGCCTTTGTCCGACCAATCTATCAGCCCGAGAGGCTGATCAGGACGAAAGTCTCACAGGTTCAACCGAGGGGCGTTGGGCACAGCCTCTCAACAACAGATCATTAATCGTTAACTCCTGGTGTGCAGTCAGCCCCATGGATCAAATTCATGAACCTTGGATGGCATAGGCAGAGGAGCTGCCTGGGTATGGCCAGAGACACTGCAGGAGACAAGGTGGCATGGATTCTGGTGGACAGCAACATGAGCTGTCTTGGATGAGATCCCACAAGTTGACTCACCACTAGTCTAAGACCCCCTTCCCCATAAAGTTGAATACTGCCTGGGAAGAAAGTGTGGGAAGACAACCATGACCTTTTTTCCACACTAGGGAATTTCCTATACTACTCTCCACCTCAGTGGATTTCCAGGACAGTCTCGGACTGATTCTGCCCCATTGTTCTTCTGCATCATGATTTCTGTGGGCAAGGGGTTTCTGAAAGTATGCAGCAGAGTCTTCCCCATTCCAGCAGCTAGGTATCCCCATTGTGTAATCCTACACAGCCAGTCAAGCGTCATGGACTGTTCTAGTGTCCCATCAGATTGGTACTGCACTGGGGGATCCATAGATCTCAACTGGGAAGTACTGAATCACAAAAAGTGGTCTGAGAGTGAGCAAACCAGGTTGGAGGGGGGGGGGCAGGGGGCCGGGAACTATGAAAATACTACTCAGGATGAAAGACAAAAACTGAACCTGTCCCTAGCTACCAGCAGTAGTACTGACCTCATTGTGTCCCCCCCCCCTTGCCCAAAGTGCTCCTGAAACGAACTAAAAAAAGCCAAGAGAGATTCTGCTGTCTCATTCTTTATACAATCAATAAACCCAGAACCGACTGTGATTCATAGTCCTGACTAAAGGGTCCAATGTCCACAGAACAAGCAATTTAAATCCCTCGTGGTTAATTATTAGATAGTTAATCAAATCTCATCATATTATAAACAATGTCCCTATCTGGATGGCAGCGGTCTGTTAAAATTCAGGAGCACACAACACAACCTTAGGAAATGGGAAGTGAAGACCACCTTTCCACAATGGACAACTTTATAACTCCCAATTCTGCCTTACGCTGAGACACAGGGAAGGGCCAACGTGTGGTTCTACCACAGGGTGAAATAATTCCTTTCCTACAAATTGGTGTTAACGGTAGGCTGTTGCAACGGTGTTCCCCTTTCTCAGGGTACTTTTATTTGTAAAGGTGGAGGGGGGCAGAGTTGAATTTCATAGATCAGTGCAGAAACACAGGTTCTCAGAATTCACATCTACTTTGCTCCTTCTCTAGTCCTGCTGCTGTAAAGTAAGCCTAAGCTCATGGTTTGTCTTGCTTCAGACATGGGCCCAGGCTTAGCTTGAAGCAGCAGGCCCAGAGGAGCAATCACAGTCTCTCCTCCTCTGTATGCCAGAGCATTTGTGCCAAGTCATGATTTGGCTTAGCTTTACTTGTGAGTCATTGTGTGAGATCCACAATGGCCTTTAGCAGCAGAAACCACATGACTATCTCTTACACAATCTCTGAATCTCTAAACTCCCCTTACCAGAGTCAGCTAAAACATCAAACATTTTCTGAACTTCTCTGAACTTCTGCTCCTCCTCAAGATACTGATTATTCTGGAAGGTTAACTTACCTGAGGAGCTGCCCTGCTTGTCAAGAAGCTATGCAAATAGAGGCAAATGCCATAAGGGCAAGAAAATGATGCCCTTATGGCAACCTTGCAGCCTGGCTACTGTAGTCCATGTGTTGATAAACGTGAGGTTGGATTACTGCAATGTGCTCTGTGTGGGGCTTCCCTTGGCCTCGTTCCGCCTGAACCCTTATATCCCAGCTCAGTCACTAAGATCATTTGCAGGAGCGTCGTTGGTCATTCCCCAAATTGGTGGAGATATGACAATAAGCATCCAAGCCTTTAGCGTCATCAGTCCAGCACTGTGGAATGTTCTGCCAATAAGGATTAACAGGTTCATGCAGGAAATCAAGAATACATCTTTCCGTAAAAGTTACCTCATTGCTGATTTTAACTTTTCAATATGGTTTTCGTTGTATGGTTTTATGTGTAATTGTTGCAAACCACTCTGGCATTTTTATGAAAAGTGATATATAATTTTTTTTAATATAAATTACATAGAAACTTCACCCACTCTAATGACTTCTGTAGGACAGGATCCAGAACCTGACAACAATGAAATTTTTGCTGTCAGGTGTACGGAATTGCAGTGCTTGGTCACCTTGTGGTCGCTCTCTTAACCCCTGTTCTGAGATCCCTCCTCCTGCAATTGCAGTATTGCTTTACCACTTTCCTCTATGTACTTCAAAGAGGTAGTCTTCCACTCCAATCAAACTGAGGTGGGGTGAAGGAAGCCTGCAACACCCAATGTGCTCTGCCCCCGCCCCATTTCCTTTGGGAGCAGTTCAGTCTTGCCATGGCCTCTACAGGAAGAAGAGCCACAGTGATACAGAGTGGCTTCAGGGTTTATTTGAGAAGAGACCTTAACAGGGAGAGTGTTGCCCGATGGCGAGTGCCCCTTTAATTAAGCCCCTCCCCATCATTTGCTCCCCACAGACAAAACGGCATTACAACAGATGAGGAAAAAACGCTGTGGAGCAAGTGGGAACAGGAGGAAAACAAGTAGAGGCTTCTTCATTTGATTGACCCATGTCCTTTAAGTGCTGGCAAGGATGCTGTTGAAATGTCTAAGTCTACGGATTGCGCAGGTCACAGGGCTCTGGGTCTTCCTGGCCCACAGTAGCTTGTTCTACAGGATATTCTTTGCAATTGCATTCAGGGTCCTCACTTTAGCCACATCGGCCACCTTGATGGAATATTCAGGTGTGGAGAGGTAGGCCCCCATGGTAATGTAAGGGTTTCTAAAAGAATACCAACAAGTCTTTGGTTACTGTCTGGAACCTGGACCTAGAAGAGCCGGAATAAGAACCATCCTAAGTCCTACCCACTGGGCCATAATTTGCTGTCATGTTGCCATTTGAGTGCTACCTTAACCCATTGCATCTGCAACTATGAACTACAGACACAAGTCTATCCCTAATGCAACAATGCCTTGCTCCCAGCTAAATGCACCTATCAGGTTCCAGTGCCCCAGATGTTCTTAGTCAAGTTACTACCCCAAACGGTGGAGCTGCATCAGGAGATGGAAGCAAGGCTTGGGCCCCTCAGTAAGTCAGGATAGAAACTTGCTCAGTTACCTGAACTTCATTCCTGAGTCTTTGAGTGAGCGCGCTGAGCAGTGAAACTCAGAGGCGCCAGAGCCTTCTAAGATTCTCTGCAGGTTTCTCTCGGTTATGCCTCCCCCTGGTGGAGAGAACCCATCACTCAGTCACAAACATGAAGTTAAGCAGGAATAGACAGAGCTACATTCTGGGTCATTAAATAGATGAGGGAAATCCCTTTGCTCTGAACCAGAGGCTAATCTTTAGGGTCAATGCAGGCTGCACTTGCAGCTCTGAAGCAGGTAGAGCTCCTAAATATGCCTCTGGAAGGGAGCAGATGCCCATCATGTATTATCTTATCAGTTTAGCTGCTGATTAGCACAAATGGCCCACTGCTTTGTTTTGCCTGACAGTTAGTGATCACTCAGGAACACGATAAGGAAACATTAGGTAATGTTCCTTGATGCCTGGAAATCTTTGCCTTCATAATGCCATACCTATAAGAGTTTGAGGAAGGGACAGATAGCTAGAAGCAAATTGAATTTGGATTGACAGAGGCAAAGAGTCTACAGCAGCAAGTTAAGCAGGTAGGGGTTGTGTGTGGGTATCTACACTATTCCTTTAACCTAATGCAGTTTCAGCAGTTGTGCCATCCATCTATTTCTACTAAGCTCTGTCTGTTTTTATATCTGCAAATAAATAAATAAATAAATATTATAAAGTCTTTCGTGCACTCTCATCCAAAGGGAATTACACCCTAAAGCTCTGTTCCTGGACTTCTTGCCACTTGGGCAAGTGTGGCTGCCTAACAACATGCTTGGTTGGTGCTAGAGTTCTGATCTATGCAACAAGTGGTACTCACTGCAGAGTCTTACCTGGCACTACAACAATCCTGCCCTTAGCCTGAAAAGGAAGAGAAAATGGATTTAGTGGTCTTGCTTATAGGAGAAAACACACCAAAAGGGTAGCACAAATATTCTGTTAAGGAAGATGTAGAATGCATTTATTTGCAATATTTAATTTCATTTTTTTAATGCTGCTTTTCAAATGGTTTGCTCCAAGTAATACTGTCACATTGAGTTTCTTACATGCTCCTCTAGGAAAGTATGCTCCCACACTTGTCTATCATTGTGTATATTTCACCTCTGAAAAGTCAAACAACTGAGGATCTACCAAGTTTCACCTCCATCCTCGGATGGTTGAACTTCAGAAACTATATGCTGCCATATCTGTATCAGCAGGACTGCTTCAACTTCACCCCAGTGTTAGAGACTGGAAGCAACTTTAAAATAACTGAGCGACTCCTGTGTTGTCTTTTGTCTGTTGTGCATTCTTCTGGACAGGTGTGAGATACGGGTGTGCCATGTGCATATTGTGTACTTAACAGAAAAGAAGGGAGCTAATTTACTGCAGTAGCCTACGGGAATTAATGCAATACTGAAAGAAGCTATTATATCAGAAGGTGCAAGGCACAGTTTCTGTATATTCAATAAGGAAGCCAGTTTTCACCCTGAATCGCTGAAAAACCCTCACCCATCTGAAGACCATGAAAGACTGCTAGCTGGCATTTCTCTGCTCCCAGCACACTCTGTCCAGTTCCTTGGATAGCCCACTCTTAAGTAGGCAAGAAAAGTATATCAGTAGAGTTACAAATTTGGGAGAGATGATACCTCACCTGTTCTGTCAGTCGTTTTATCAAGGGCAGCCCCTCTAGAACAGTGCTGTCACAGCCACTAGTCAGGACCCGTTCAAAGCCCATCGATATTAGCGTTTCCAAGGCTGCCAAAGGGTCATAGACCATGTCAAAAGCTGCTGAGAAAAATGGAGCATGTCAGTCTTTACTGCCAAATGTTCTGGAAGGCAAATCTACTGACATATTCAAGGCTTTAGCCTAGTCCCAAATCCCTGGTAGGCAGTCCTAATATGTACAATTCCCAGAGTACATTCTCATAGTCCCCCCCCAAGGTAAGGCCATTGTGCCTGAGCCTACAGCCTGCAAGTAGGCAGTCCGGCTTTCATTCCCCACTCCAAGCTCTGTAAGAAGAGTCTGCTGGACCTGTCCAATGGCCTATCCAGTCCAGCATCATGTTCTCACAGTGGCCAACTAGATGCCTGTGGGAAACCAGCAAGCAGAAACTCACCTCTGTGGAAGGTGACTGGCAGAGGGCGGGAAGCAGCTGCAAAAAGAACAGATCCCAGATGGTTAGTATGCCTTTGCTTAGGGGTTGTCTTTGTGAAGGCAATGCTTCTGCTACTGGCCCCGGAAAGAAAGGAAACTTCTCCAGATGGTTCAACCAAGGTGGCTGTAGTCATCTGACACCATTTCTGCAATATGGATTCATCATCCTTTCTCATTTCCACTAAGACTGCCCACTAGCTAGCTCTTTGCATGGCATTTCTTTTCACATTTTGTGTATCAAACCCCTCACACATGTTGGGCTTATGCACTTATTTTAAAAAGTAATCCTGGTGTAGACTATAGATGTATCCACTCGTTTCCCTAGGTAGCCTGTGGAATAATGAACCATGGAGTGAATGGATACTGGCTTCTGGTTAAAATAGTTTAGCTGCTGTATTTCAGCTTGCCTCACAGAACTTTCCCCACCTTTCCTCCTTCTGTGTGCTGTTCTGTGGGGGGGAGGGGGACATGCAGGAAGAGGACAGGCTTCACCTAAAGGTAAAGGTACCCCTGCCTGAATGGGCCAGTCGTGTCCGACTCTGGGGTTGCGCGCCCATCTCGCTTAAGAGCCCGGGGTCCAGCGCTGTCCGAAGACACTTTCGGGTCACGTGGCCAGCGTGACAAGCTGCATCTGGCGAGCCAGTGCAGCACACGGAACGCCTTTTACCTTCCCGCTAGTAAGCAGCCCCTATTTATCTACTTGCACCCGGGGGTGCTTTCAAACTGCTAGGTTGGCAGGCGCTGGGACCGAGCAACAGGAGCGCACCCCGCCGCGGGGATTCGAATCGCCGACCTGACGATCGGCAAGTCCTAGGCGCTGAGGTTTTACCCACAGCGCCACCCGCGTCCCATAGGCTTCACCTAGCTAGAGCCAATTTTGGGGGGCATGCAGGGAGAGGACAGGCTTCCCCTAGCAAGACTAATTCTTCTTCAGAAGATATACTGTCAGTTTCAGTTAAATAGAGAAAATAGCTAGTAATTATTTTCTTTGCATTTTTGAGGGTCCAGAAAAACCATAGTGTTATCATTCTTTCAAAAAAGTTTCCTATTCTTCTGGATAATTCTTCCTTCTGTACAGAATTTATGGCTGCCTAACACTCTCTCCATACAGAGCTGCACAGTGCCCCTTCTTACAAACAAAGGTCACTCGTCCCAACCATTACAGCGTTTGGCTCCTGCTTTATCTGAATAATTCATTCATTTATGGAATGACCTATGGAATGTCCTCCCTCTAGAGCAGCCTTTGTCAAATTAGCTGGGGCTAATGGGAGTTATAGCCCCAAACATCTGGAGGATACCAGCTTGGTGTAGACTGCCCTAGGAGCACGACTGGTGCTAAAGCGCTGTTGTCATTTTGGCATCAGGTGAAGCTTCAATATTTCCCCAGCCTCTTTTTTTTGGAGTGAGGAGTCAGAAGTTCCGTCACTTCTGCAACTGAAGAGACTGTAGCACCATGGCCATTTCCCCCCTAATAAGCTCCATTTATATATGTTTTTATAAATTGTGCTGCATTGTTTTTATTCTACTGTAACCCACCCTGGGATCACATAATGAAGGGTGGATTAGATGTTCTCTTATACTGTAAATGAATGAATAGCTCAGTATAGTGAGGAAGGCTCTAGTATCTCGTGGATCTTGCCTGTAGGAAATATTTCTTAATTTGAACCATGGAATTATTAGCTGGTGGCACTGTATGACAATCACGACTCAAGTACCAAATAAGCCCTTTGAAAAGTAAAGCCTGCTCACCCAGCAGTGCTGTGCAGAGCTCTGTATCCACACGTCCATCCTCAGTCAAGGCTCCAAACACCAACCCATCAGCCCCATGTTGTTTGGCAAGTCGGATGTCTGCTTTCATCACCTCCACTTCTCGGTCAGAATAGAGGAAATCCCCCCCACGGGGGCGGATCATCACAAATACAGGCACCCTTATACACTGCTTCACCACTTGCAAAAGGCCTGCAGACAAACATGTTTGGGACATGGT